GGGGCCGAGCCGGGGCCTGGAGTAGCGGCCGCAGCCCGCCCCCAGGAATGGGCTGGAGCGGGCCGAAGGAGGAAGGCGGGCGGGAGCTGTTCAAATGGGGAAGGCGGGAAAGCTGCGGGGCCGGGAGGGGGCGTGCGGCCACCCCGGGGACCTGCGGGCCGGGGCCGCCCCTCCCCCTGCCCTGGCCGTCTCCGCCCTCGGGGGCATCGTGCGGCCGCCCTGGACGCGGGAACCCGAGTCGGGACCGCGGCTGGGTTCGGGATCCGGGATGCGTGATCCTGGGGCTGTCAGGGGAAAGGGGCCCGAGTCCGGGGCGACGGCAGGGCTGGGTCCTCGGCTGGCAGAAGAGGATGTAAAGGGCTTTTCCTCCTTGCGGAGCTTTGTTGAAGTAGCTAGCTGTTGCTGCAAAAGTGCCGAGAGAATCCCATTGGTTCGCCATGGGGACCACGAAAATGGTTATCCTGGGGGGCTCTTTGTATAAATAATCTGGTATCATGTGTATTCTTTGCGTGCGATCCAGTTCGAACGTGTCTTCTTATTGGTATCTCCTCATACAGGCCCATTTTCCCTCCCAGCCATTACTTGTAGATTCCGTGTATCATGCAAAAGAACAGAAGCATCCCTGCCTCCCTTGTGGTACCCGAGCTGGTGGCTGGTTATAGTCCCTCACAGAAGAATAAATAAAAGAATCCCAAATAAAGCCTGTTGGTTGGACAAGGCTTGTCAAAATGTGTATCGCTGATTTCGTGGAAATGTGTGCTGTCAGCCTTTCTGTGCGGTGGTCGTGGTTCCGCTTAATTACACAGCAATGAGAACATTTCAGTCTCCATCCCAGGCCGGTCGGATCTCCGCAGCTTCCAGAGCTGGCAGGGGCTCAGAGTGCTGCATGGGTAGGTCCTTGGAGAAGGGAGTGGCAAGAAATCAGACTCGTGTGTGAGATCGGAGGAAACTTTAACAAAAATGCGAAGACATCACCTGCTCGTACCCTACAAGTAGCACACACATTAAAAAAAAAAAAAAAAAAATCAGAAAGTGGCAACAACTGGATGTGCTTTGAGATCCTGCGAGGAGTGTTGGGCGAAGAGAACGTGGAACCTTGGACAAGGCTCTCATCTTGGACTAGACGGGCTTTCGGGATGTCACTTAACTGACTTTCGGGATGTCACTTAACTGACTGACTTTGGTCTTTCAGTGTGCATTTCCATTCTGAATGAAGAAGCTTGTTAGTGATTGGATCACCTCAAAAGAGCACCTTCTGAACCTTTTTCTCAGTATTTATAATTTGCATTTTCAAAGTAACCAAGTACTATGGCTGATAATTTCAAGTTTTCCCTGATTACTTTGGTAATCCCAAAAACCTATTTCTCAACATAATTTGTATATTTATCTAGAAATGGAATAGCAGCTTTGCCTCCCCTTTTTTGTTTCTGGAAAAAGAGCCATTTAACAATTTGCACATTTCATAAGTATACATTATTTTGTGATGGCATGTATTCTACCATAAGCAGTGTTAAATAATCAACTTTTACTTAAGTTGTCATTTTTTTTTTTACCACACTGAGACAAACCATTGTAAAACTACCCCAGCCTCCTGAAGTTGATAGCATTGAATTCGATAAATGCCAAGATTATGGAACTCAGGGAAATGGTTGTAACACCTGTTTTACATTTGCCAACATTTAATTTAATTATGGCTTTTGTTTTCTAATATTAAAATCAGACCTGATATTAAAATCATTTCCATTAATCTGTATAGTTGACTGCCTACCCCTGAACTCCAGATTTATCGTGGATAATATTTGCAACGATGGGATCAGGTGTAGCAAGGATCATGGGGCTGGCACAGGACCAGGCCGTGTTTTGTTCGGTTGTACATAAGGTCACTGAGAGTCAGACGACTTGATGCCACCTAACAACAACAACAACAATATTTGAGACCCAGAAGGAATAGCGGTTACTCATCTGATCTTATATAAATGTTGCCTTAATTCTGCCTTTCTTCCATACTGTTGCTTGAGACTTCTTTATCTAGTGTCATTTTTCTTTTATGGGTCAGCAACCAAAATTAGACCCTATGCTACAATAACATACTGATTTTAAAGAACCTAGAAATTAAGGGCCCGTCAGTCTGCCCAGGCTTTGACCAATACTGTCCGTTGTGTTTAATTCTGGTTTTCTAAGCTCTCAGCTGCCCCAATTCTTTAGTGAAGTAGTTCCCTATGATTTACAAATGCTCTTCACTGTTTTTCAAGAAAATTTGAACAGCAGCAGACCTAATTCTGAAGACTTAATGCTAATACCAGCACTTGTTTTCTGTATCAGCCTATGTATCTGAGGAACAGTTCCATTTCTGTTTTCCTCTCAAAACTTTTTAAATCTACTAATCTATTGGTTGTTTTCCAAAGTAGTTAGTTATGAGGCCATCAGCACCTTTTCATAGTCTAGTAAGCCCCAGTTACTGTTTTCTTTCTCATTTTGTCTTCAGAGTGAGTCTATTCTGAGTGTCAGGTGGCTCACCTCTGTCCTTTGGTGTTACCAAAGAGAGGCCTGATTTTAAGTCTCAGGACCTTACATATAGAAGTGCATTTTGTTGTTGACAGATTGATGGCCATATTTATGATATTGAATATTTAAAAATTTCCCCCATTATTTCTCAAACATTCTTTGCCAATAATTATTTTGCAATTAAATAATTTAACTTAAGGTCTCCAATTGTGTTTCTTAACTTTATCAGCCTATGGAAATGAATATGATATATAGACATATAAATTATATATATGTATTCAATAACAGTGCTGGTGAAAGAATATACTGCTTTCAAATTGGTGGCTCTAATACCCTCTGAAATTTCCCCTGCCCTCCACTGCCTTTGGAACATCAGTGCTTGGGTAGAAAGGGGAGGACAGTAGTTTCCATTTGAGAAGGTTTTCGGTTTAAGCTGGAATAGGGAAGACTAGCTACACCACGTATCGTGCCCCTCATATTTCTACATGATGCCTGGCCTTCTATCCCTATCTCCTTCATTTCCTAGGAAAATGCCCCTTGAGTAAGCAGTTCCTGGTTTATCTTTAAAATAATCTAGTTTATTACAGTTCATTTGAAGTAAACAAGTAGAGTGCTCTAGTTGCTCTTTGACCAAGTCCGTTCTTTATTTTACCTCTTAAGGAAGTGGAGAACTGCTTTTTTTTTGTTTCTGTTCTTAATCTTACTTGTAAATCATTCTTGGCGATACTTTCTTTCCCTCCTGTTTTCCACTTAGGCCTATCTGTGCATTGTATTTTATCTGAATTACACAAATAAGTCTTTTGGTTTTGTTTCTTTAAAATTCAACTTTTATGAAACTTTCCTTTGTTAACCACATTCACCCTTTCTTTCACAAAAGTTACATACTTCAGTATCATACATACCTACCTGAAGGGATTAGTAATTCCCCATTGAAGTAAATCCCATTATAGTAAGGAAGGTAAAATAAAACTTACACAGATGATCAATCAGGTCAACTTCTAAACATTTCCCTAACTGGATGAGAACATCCTCAATATATTTTGTATATATTTTTGGAATTTACTGCAAAGATTTTTTCTGCAGGACTTGTGGCATTTGCTGTCCTGAAAGTATTTGAATGACCTTATCTTAGTGTGCAGTTTATAGTGCTGTCATCTTCAAAGTCAAAATTGATATATAAACTTGAATGAGAAAAAAAAAATTTTAACAAATTCAGTACTATATTTAGAACATTTAAATGCCAATAATTCTAATTTGTGAAAATCTTAACAATCATAAAAAATTTATTACGAATGTACAAATAGTAATTCCCCTTATTTTTTACCTAGCCAAACTAAGAAAGGCTATTTGATAGTCTTGCAAGCTGGCATATGGCCAACAAATGTAACAAGTGTACCTACTTTATATGAATTTGAGCAAACTCTTAGCCCAACAAAATACATATGAAGAAAAATATACTCTAAACATCTTTGATATTCCTATAATGTTATCATTTCTATTTAATTTGGTAGGATTTTGTAGTCTTCATGTGTGGTGCGTTATGTCTTTCTTTGCATCCTACTTTACCTGTGCATTTGTTAACTATCCCTCTCATTGTCAGTTTTTACCATGTCCTTTTGGCATTTCAGAAATTCTCTGTAATTGTGCAGTATTTTTTATGTGGGAGGTATTCTATATACTTTCCAAACAACACTTTAATTCTTGAATCAAATCTAAGCCCAGTATATACTCCTGGAATTTCATCCCCAGTAGATTCACAAGCAAAATGAGGTGACAAGACACTCCTTTATTTCTTGCTGCCCTTCCAGTCGGCCCTTGGATCACCACATATTTCCAGCTGGAAGGTTTCTTCTCCACAGTGAATTCACATTACAGGAGGGTTTTCCTTCTTTGTTTCTCAGACCTGGTCCTGTAGACGGGAAGGAGCCTGGACACAGTGACACATTCTCAAAGGCCCTGCAGGACCACCATGGCTTATGATGACTCCATGAAGAAAGAAGGTATGACCCCTTAATCTGAGAAGCATTCCAAAGGGGGTATCCTCTTCAGTCCTTGCAGCCCATGGACATAGTGACCAGGACTGGGCACCACAGCTTGGACTCCCAAGTGATGGTCCAGAGCACTATTACGATATTCAGCCTCCACGACATCCCCAGACTGGGCCCATGGAAATGAAAACCAGGACAGGGGTTCCAGCATGAGAGTCTAAGATACAAGTCTAGTTTATTGGGGTGATCCCCTGCAGCACTCTTGGTCCTTGCCAGCTCCAGTACAGGAATCCGGGGATAGGAATCACATATTGGACTCCCACAGAGCAGCACAGCACATGAATCCTTATTCTTTCCAGCCTTACCTCTGCAAGTGTATGTCCACCTGCAAAATCACAACTAAAAAACCATTTCTGAGGATGCATATAGTGTGGAAGCGTTGTTTCTTCAGGTTTGATGATTACATTTGCAGCCATATCATCAAGAAATATTTTTGTCCCCTTGGTTCTAGCGTGCTATTTCAGTGGACTTACTGAAACATTGGAAATGAGGTATTAGTGCATTCATTACATGTGTGATGTTTTGATCGTTACTTACTTGGCTTTCTCATTTCCTTTCCCAAATGAACTTGTGCTTCCCAGATTGCTTTGATGGTGATCACTGCTTGGAGGACATAGGACTGGCAGCTGGCCGAAGCCAACGAGAAAAGAAACGTTCTTATAAAGATTTTTTAAGAGAAGAGGAAGAAATTGCTGCTCAGGTCAGGAATTCTTCCAAGAAGAAGTTAAAGGTAAGGTTCTAAGCATTTGAATTTGGAAAGTTTTAAACTATTCCTTTTATTGTATTGTCTAACATTTGAAAAATGAAATTTCTTTTAAAAACTTCTAAAAAGAAAAATAAAACATTCACATCTATTTTTTCCTTTAAAAAAATTCAGGTCTATTTTTATTATTTCTTATGTTTTGTTTTGTTTTCTGAAGTTAAAAATCATCAAAGACAAAAAAAGTAGTTCCAAACTCACAGGTAGAAACAAATACTGATTTGAGTGAAGGGAAAGGCAATATACCAAAAGCTAGTGACCAACACAGTAACACTGAGTAAAAGGAAGACACAGAGAGATACACAGGAGGTACAGACAACAAAGATGAACCCTTTTACATAAACATCACCACATTATCAGTGATATATGATATGGGTATAAAAATGATAGGCTGAATGATCAAGTATGTCTAGGAAAAAGGGAATATACCCGTGCAAAAAGGGCATGAACGTGGCATCTTCTGACCTCCTCTAAATTAACAAGAAGATAGAATCACCATCAGCAGCCCAAGGCTTATTCTTACGAGGCCAGACATACCACCACTCTCTAGCCTGTTTACTACTCTGACACCAGCCATCCCTCTCACAGCACTTACTACTTCTCTGCTGGTTTCGATAATTCGTTGCAGTAGCCACACACAAAGAATTTACGGACAATACTCACAATTATGGGGTTTATTAGGGAAGTATCATCACAGTTCAGGTTCAGGAACATGCTCAGGATACAGTTCTTCAGTCAGAATGGTCTCCCCACTGCTTTGCCCTCAGGCACGCCTCTCTGGCCCTTGACCTGTAGGCCTGGCCTCTGCCCTACATGGGCAAGTGTTACAAAGCTTTTTTAGCTCTGCTGATAGGTACACCTAGGTGCACGTTACTCTGTCTCTCCTGCCTCTTGGTTCCACTGTGACCATCTCTCTACCAGGTGTTTCTCTCTTGGGGGGCATCTCTGCCAAGGAGGTCCAGTGCAGGGATTTCGGGTCCAAGGATGCACTCTACTTCACCTCCAGCTCTTTTTCTCTTAGTGGCAGTGAGATCCCCTTTCTGCCTCTGCTGTTGTGGTTGTTGGTTGCTGTTGAGTCAGCTCTGACTCACAGCAACCGTATGTACAACAGAACAAAACACTGGCTCATTTTAAGCCTGGCAGAGTGACAAAATTAACCAGTCCCAACATCAGAGTTCTAGACACCTTATTTGCCTGGTCCCACCCGGTAATCCGGTGGGAGTTACAAAGACTATGGCTAGAAAAGCCATACCAAGTAATTCACTGCACAGTAACCCATGACCATATAAGGTTGGTGGACAGTATTTCTACATACTTAACTTGTATATGCTGTAAGAATGTTTGTATATGTAATAGAGCTACCAAAAAAAAAAAAAAAACCTCACTGCTGTAGAGTTGGATCTGATTCATAGGAACCCCTCCTTGGGTTTCCAAGGCAATAAGTAGATTCCCCAATCTTCCTTCCAAGGAGTGGCTGATGGGTTTGAACTGCCAGCCTTCTGGTTAACAGTCAGATACCTTAGGCAGTACACCACCAGAGCTCCTGTAATAGAGCTAATAAGGGGCAAAATTATGATAACTTCTTAGCCACAGCCAGCCACCCTGAGGGAGTGAGTAGTTGGACCTGTGGGCTCAGCACCATGGTCACAGAGGACATCAAGTTCTATTGGCATGATGTACTACACAAAACCATTTGGTGAGTAGTGACTGGGGTCTTAAAAGCTTATAGTCAGCCATCTAGATGCAACAGTGGGTCTCTCCTCATCCAAAGCAAAGAAGAATGAAAAAGACCAAAGACACATGAAAACAATTAGTCCAAGGGACTAGCAGACCTCAGCTTGTATGACCATGGGACCAGAGGAAGTAGACGATGCCCACCGACCACAGTCAACTACTCAGGAAGGGATCAGTGCAGGGATAGAGTGGGAGAACAATGTGGAACAAAACTCAAATTCATAAAAAAAGAAAAAAAAAGATCAAGATTATTGGTCGGCTAGAACCTGGTGAGACCCCCCCAAAACTATGGCCCCTAGTTACTCACTCCTGTGACTTCCAGCCAAACAATAGACAGGCATACAGGGTGAACATTTACATCAGGCAGATACACTCCTTAGAACAGTCAGTCACAGGAGAACAGAATGGCAGTATTTGCACAGGGAGATAGCTCAGGGAGCAGGAATGCTTAGGAAAGAAGGACACAGGGAAGAAGTAACTACAAAGAGGAAGTGGGAAGAGAGGTATTACATTGTGGGGAGTTGCAGTCAATGTCATGAAACAATGTATATGAACTGTATGGAAAAGGAATTTGTTCTATGAACTTTTTACCCAGATCACTGTTTGAAAAAAAAAGAGTAATTCTGAATTGCTTTTACCTCACCATCTTATTCACTGATCAGCTATACTTCCTCTTTAATTCCAGGATAGTGAACTCTACTTCTTGGGGACGGACTCGCACAAGAAGAAGAGGAAGCATTCCTCTGATGATTACTACTATGGAGGTAAGGATGGGAAAGGGCAACAGTGGGATAAACACATCACTGGTTCTTGGAGTCGGGGTAGGGGGAAGGGATCCAGATGTTGCTGACTCAGTGGCCTATTTAACAGGACAGTGGTTCTTGTTCTGAGTGCCGATAAACCTGTGTGAAGGAGGAGAGAGGTGGAGGGCTGGTATTTTGGAGGATTCAGCATAGAAGAACAGTCTTCATTTGTGATACACCAGGTACCAGGTTCCTTCTCCCCCAATCATCCACTTATCTTGTGCCCATTGTTATCTAGCATTCCTTTGTCATATGTAGTCCTTGGGCCCTCTGGCCTGCATCTGTGGGTTACTTCTCCATCTAGTGCATATCCACTCACAAGACCAGTTTTTCTTAGCTATGGTATGCACATAGCTGAAGAGACTAAACCTTTTCCAAAATGAATGTATCCCGAACACAGAAACAAATGGTGGTCTGTCTGCAGTGTAATCTAAAATTGTAGTTGTTGTTGTTACGTGCTGTCGAGTCGGCCCAACTCATAGCGACCCCTCTTTGGGTTTCCGAGGCAGTATCACTACGGAAGTAGATTGCCCAGGTGCCCTTAATCCTCCAGCTGTAGTCATCCTTCTGAGTATGCTTTCTCTGATAGCTTCTGAAGACTCAGTGAAGAGAAACAACTTAGTGGTAACAGCTATTTCCCAGATCAGAGACAAAATCTACCAAGCCAAGAAGCACATGGGCATCATCTCTGAATGTTGGCAATCAGTTGAAGGACCTCCCCTGACATCATTCCTATTAGCCTTTTCCTCTTGTTAGTTGGGTGTTTGGATGAGAGAGAAGACATGGTGGAAATTGCTTCCTATCATATTGGTATTTCTTGTCTTGATTCTTTCCAGATATTTCGTCTTTGGAATCGTCACAGAAGAAAAAGAAAAAGTCCAGCCCACAGTCTGCTGATACAGCTATGGACCTATTGAAGGCTATCACTTCCCCACTGGCAACAGGCTCTAAGCCTCCCAGAAAGACAGGGGAGAAATCATCTAGTTCTTCAAGCCACTCAGAGGGTAGAAAGGAACATCACAGGAAGAAAGCAAGTGGAAGCGGTGGAGAACTTAGCCTGGAGGATGGTGGCTCCCACAAATCCAAAAAAATGAAACCGCTCTATATGAACACAGAGACACTGACCCTTCGTGAGCCTGATGGCTTAAAGATGAAACTTATTCTCTCACCAAAGGAGAAAGGAAGCAGCTCAGTTGATGAGGAGTCTTTTCAGTACCCCTCTCAGCAAGCAACTGTGAAGAAGTCCTCTAAGAAATCAGCTCGGGATGAGCAAGGTGCTTTACTCCTAGGACACGAGTTACAGAGCTTTCTGAAATCCGCCCGGAAGAAACACAAGTCATCTTCAGACCCACACTCATCTCCTGGCCCTGAAGGACCTGATGCCTCCCAATTCCTAGAACCCCACAGTGCTAACCTTGATCTTTCAGGAATTGAACCTATTCTGGTAGAGTCGGACTCATCCTCTGGTGGGGAATTAGAGGCTGGGGAGTTAGTGATAGATGACTCTTACCGGGAAATCAAGAAAAAGAAAAAGTCAAAGAAGAGCAAAAAGAAGAAGGATAAGGAAAAGCATAAAGAGAAGCGACACTCCAAATCCAAGAGAAGTTCGGGACTTTCCACTGCAGCAATGGGAGAGGTCACAATGACCCCTGCCCCTCCTCCTAGCGTCGCATATACTGGAGCGGCTGTCCCTCCCCCACCACCTCCTGGCCTCCACACAGATGGCCATGGTGAGAAGAAAAAGAAAAGAGAGGAGAAGGAAAAAGAGAGAGAAAGGGGAGAAAAGGTAAAAAATAATAATTAATATAGTAAGTGGACTTGGAGTTAAACAGGCAAGGTGAACCATTGGGAATTTGGGTAGGAGGGGGGCTGGTGGGATCATATAAAATGTTATCAATGGCCACATCTATCTAGTACAAAGGTAAGAGCAATCTTAATTTTTGTGGGTTATCTTAGTAGAGTTATTCTGTCATTGTGCCAAGCAAGGGTTTAAGAATACCTTGACTTATTCTGACTGATACTTAAAATTCATAGAATGGGCCACACCCAGTCACTTTCCGTTAGCAACACTGTCTTCCTTGGGGCAGTTGAGAGCTGGGAAAGAGTGTACTTTGAGGTCAATTTAAAAACATTTTCAAAATTTGTAGAATTATGGCCATTTAAGTTAATGGAATAAGCTGTTTGCTTTCCACTGTTGTTGGGTACTTTGTGGTATTCTCTTTAGTGTCAAACATGGGCTCTTGCACCATTTGAGTGCTTACTAATTGCCAGGGTCAGTGCTATGCTAGGTGCCAGGAACTGCCAAATGAGCAGTATGTAGCTCTTGACCTGGGAGTTCCCTCCCTGGGGAGATAGAAGTGAGAAATCAGTCACCTCTGTTTGATTTCTTTCTTCACATTTGAGAACCTTTCCAGCAGTTGTACCCCATGTTAGGATGACCATGCCATTAAAGATTTCCTTTAAAAACAAACAAAAAATTTCCCGTTACCAAGGTATAGTACATTAATTTTACAGAAATTCAAGATAGTGGAAAAAAGAAAAAAATTAATCATAGTTTTGCCACCTGAGGACAATTCTATAGTTCTGCAAAATGAAGTGTCACACAGTATCTGAAGGAAAAGCTACTGAGAAGGGGAAAATAAAATATACGAAGAATTTAAGAATAGAAATCTCATTTTAGTTTACTATTGAGGTGCAACAGTTTCTCCATTGCAAAGGGTACACTTTAAGGGGAAAACCAAAAACCAGACCTTCTGAGCCAAAAACCAGTGTGAACTCAAAAGAACTAGATACTCAGCCACTGGGTCAGTTTTTCTTTATTTGAACATGACTTCACCACAGAGAGAGTATGTACTCTGTAATTCTGTTTACCCTAGGTATTTCCATTCTAGTGATCCACGCTAATACCGTGGACTAATCTCACAGTGCTGGAGGTGGAAGGGTAAAGCTGGGCCTGGAAGAGGAGGCAGGACATCCGTGGAAGGGAATGCCTGGAGGCAGAAAGACATTTAGGAAATGGCGTAGTAAAATAAGTGAACTCTCGTCAAGTTTCTAGGGTTAGTCTAGTTTCTGACCGCCTGGTAAAGGTTTCTGCTTGGATGTCTCGGGTACTTCAGACCAGTGTGTCATAACTAAGCTTGTTGTTCGGGCCTCTAACCCTTAATCTCCTCCCTCCTCCTCTGTATCTCTGGTCTATCCAAACTCAAAACCTTCATGCTTACTGCTTTTCTCAACATTTTATTATGGGATTTTTCAAACAAAAAGAAGAATTATACAATGAACAGCATACGCTCTCCACTGAGATTCTATAATTAACATTTTGCCATATTTACTTTATCATAATAACTATCCATCAATCCATCCATTGATCCGTCTTACCTTTTTTTAATAGATTTCAAAGTAAGTTGTGGGTGTACACCTCAATCCTAAACACTTCAGTGTGCATATCGTTAACTTGAGTTCAATATTTGTTTCCAGAGGTTTTTTATATTTGCTTATTGGCACTTTGTTTTTGTTTTTAGGTAATATTTACATATGATGAAATGAACGAATTTTATAATGAGTTTGATTAATGATTTGATTTGGTTACATACCTGTGTAACCCAAACCTGTATCAAGATAGAGACATTATCCCAGAGAGGTCTCTCATACCCCTTCCCAGTCAGTCTCCACCACCAGTCAACCACTGTTCTGATTTTTTTCCAGTCTTATGGTTTACTCTTACATTTCTCTATTCCCTGCTCCCAGCCAACTACTTCCACTCAAGTGTGAAACCTGATGTTCCTCCTCATTAATAACTTTGAAGCCTTTATCTCTTCTATTACCCCTGCCACCATCTTCTGCCACATCCCTCCCTATATTTGATATAATAAATGGCCTCTTTTCTGCTTCCTTCCCTCATGCACTTACACATTGATGCCACAGTGCTCTTCTCTAAGCACCACCTTGATGATATAGTCCTCTGAGCAACATCTTCAGTAGATCCTTACTACATTTATGTTAGACTGTAAGCTCCAGGAGGTCTATGGTCATGTCTGTCTTGCTCTCCATCAATCCCTAGGGCTTAACCCACAGTCTGCCTGTTGTAGGCAGTCAGTAAATACTTGTTGAATGAATAAATATCAAAAGCTTAAGTATTGGCCAAGTATTCATAACTGTGGTTTAGCCTTAAACCTCCCTTTTCAGCTTTACATCTTACTAGTCTGTTTTACAGGAGCTCTGGTAGCATAGTGGCTAAGACACTTGCCTGCTAACCAGACGGCTGGCAGTTCAAACCCACCAGCCATTCCTCGGAAGGAAGGTTGGGCAATCCTACTTCCGTAGTGATACTGCCTCGGAAACCCAAGGAGGGGTCGCTATGAGTCGGGTTTGACTCGACGGCACATAACAACAACAACAACAACAGTCTGTTTTACATACACTATGAGGTAACCAAACTTGTTTCCCATACAGCCTTACCTCTATACTTGTAATCATCTTTTTGAGGAACCTTTTTCCCTTTCTCACATACTAAAGCTTTGCTTTCCCTTCAAGACCTAATCACATGCCACCTCTTTGATCAGGGTATGGTATCTGACACCTCCTGCTCCCAGTAGGAGTAGCTTCTGGACTCCTGTAACACCTTCTGTCTCTCTAACTGCACTTATTGTCTTCCTTATATCACAATTGTCTTTGTACATATCCCAGTTCCCCCATTTAAATACTTGGTTAACATGCTCAGCTGCTAACCGAAAGGCTAAACGTTCAAGTCCACCTAGAGGCACCCCAGAAGAAAGGCCTGGTGATCAGCTTCTGAAAAGAGCCATTGAAATCCCTGTGGAGCACAGTTGTACCTGGGGTTGCCATGAGTTGGAGTCAACTCAATGGCATCTGTTTTGTTTGTTTGTGTTTATAAGCTCCTTGGGTAGTGACTTTTTTGGTCACTTTAATATTACCTTCAACTTCTCAACATCCTTGGCAAGCATTTTGTAAGTATTTGTATGGACAGAAAAAAAGTTGTGAGCAAATTGTAGAGAATCTTGAATGCCAAGGTAAAGGATTTGGCAATGGGCATTTTGGGATTTCTGAGCAGAGATTAGTTATGATCTGGATGATGATTTAAAAAGAAACTAATAGAGCTGTACAAGGTGGACTGGACTGAGGAGAGATTTGTGAGACCACCTAGGAGATTATTATAGCCCAGAAGGTCAGTATAAAAGCTTGATAGAATAAAACTGAAGAGACAGATTCAGGAGAGATCAAAAGGAAAAAAATGTATAAGATCTGACAACGGGTTTGTATCTGCAAAGGCAGAAACAAGATTGAGTAAAGGATGACCCTTTCACTGAGGTTTTGAACCTGACTGGTCAGGAAAGTAAATTATAAACTCAGAGGTCGGGACTTACTCATCTATAATTCCCCCATTGTAGATGGCAATTGTGAGGCTGGCACAGGACTAGGCAGTGTTTCATTCTGTTGTATATAGGGTCGCTATGAGTCAGAGCCGACTCGACGGCGCCTAACAACATAGATAGCAAATGCTAGTGAAAAAAATACCCAAATCCTTATTATGAATCAGTATTTGATTGTGACTATCTAAAAAACCTGCAGTAGTTATGCTCTGAATTTAATTATTTATCCAGCAAATATTTATCAAGTACATACTGTGTTTTTAAAATTTTACCTGTGCATAATAACTTCTTAAACTTTAAAAAAATATTCTTGCCTGGGTCCCATCCCCTAAGGTTCCAATTCGTTAGGTCTGACGTGGGTCCCATGCATCTGTTTTTAGTTTTATTCATTATTTGTGCTCCAGGTGAGTCTGATGCGCATCCAAGACTGGAAGCGTTGATAACAGAACAAAGTACTGATGATAGCACCACTCTGACCTCTAACCCCAAGTCTTACACGTTCTTTCCTGGGTGCCACACTTTCAGAAGGAAGTTACCAGCTACATGCAGAGGTTAGAATAAGCAGGAATGTGATGGAGTTTCTAAAACAGGAACACACACACAATATCACAGTGGAGATGTTTCCATTTCTATGAGTAGTTTTCTTAAATTTCACTCCACTCCTCGGAAGGAAGGTTGGGCAATCCTACTTCCGTAGCGATACTGCCTCGGAAACCCAAGTAGCGATACTGCCTCGGAAACCCAAGGAGGGGTCGCTATGAGTCAGGGCTGACTCGACGGCACATAACAACAACAACAACATATGTCTATAAATTGCCTTCTCAGTACCCTTTTGGTAAATCTCACTATTGATACTTATTTCTAAATTGTTCCGTTGTGATTTCCTCTTTAACCATGAATTTAAGATCACCACAAAGTAAAGGTTTTTTTAAAAAACTTTTAGGATGCTTATTTCTAATGTAATTATATTGTGTTCAGAGAATATAATCTGAAATATCTCTTCTCTGGCAATTGTTGAGAGATCTGTGGCTTACTGTGTCCTCAGTGTAGTCATCTCTGTTGTATTGTTTGATGAAGCTTCTTTATAGTCTTCCTCCTCTTTTGTCTGCTTAATCTACACGTTTTTCAGAGAAGTATACTAAAATTTCTCACAATGATAGTGAATTTATTTATGTTTCCTAATAATTCTGGTGGTTTTTTGTTTTTGTTTTTTTGTTTGTTTAATTTATATGCTTTGAAAAAAAATCATAAAAGTTCATGATAACTCTTTGGTAAATTTTATTTTGTGGTATATTTGTTTATCTCTTCTAATGCATTCTGCTTCCGTTGTAGTCTTGCATACCAGCTTTCTTTTCATTTGTATTTACCTGGTATATCTTTCTGTTGTAATCCATCA